CCCCCCGGCAGCTGCATCAAAGCAGAGATAAGGAACAGGGCTGCACCAGCCTTTGCTGAGGTACAGCAGAGAGAAATCATACAAATTGAATAACCTACTAAAATAAGCCTGTGAAAAGTTGGCTTGAGGATTTCTAATCGTTCTGAGCCATTTCTCTTTATGTTTGTAAGCAACGCAGGATGGTTTCTTAAATTAGCTGGAAAGCGAGGTGATTTGGGAAAAACTGCTCGAAGGCTTTATTTTTAAGGAAATCAAATGCCATTTGCAGAAGGTAGCAATGGTTGCTGTTAAGTGATGTTGTTTTGTGCAAAAAAGAGCGTTTCCTAGCAGTGAATGATTTGTGAAAAATTGTGCATTTCATTGAACTGATGTCAGAAAGAGTATTTCACGCAAACCGTTCCAGCAAAACTACGTGCTTATCGTGTGTCTCTCGAAACGTGCACTGCTCGCTTACTGTAGCGCTTGAGTGTAAATGCTTTCCTGCAGGAAGGTCTTGCAAGCACTGTATGCTCCTAAACACTGCTTTGTGCTCTTCCCCCAGCCGTATGCTGCATGCACATACACTTCAGAGAGAAAAATGGCAGCTATAGTAAATTCTCTATTTGTATGCTGTTTTTTCTTTTCTTTTTTTTTTTTTTTTTTTCCCTTTTTAACCTGAAAATACTACAAATGTAGTAGGCCGGGTACCGGTTGGCTGTTGCTGTGCTGCCATCGCAAACCTCTTAGGGGAAATGTTTTTGTTAGTTTGTTGACTGGATCTCCTTTGACTATAACGGAGCTCACATGCATCTGGGTTTGTAGACTTTTAAATTTAGGCAAAAAAAAAAGATTCTCTTCCTAATGTCTGCTCTAGGTTACCTGTCTACCTTGTTCCTCTGGCAGAATATATGAACGTGGTTTCCAACCAGGGAGCTCATGCTCTATTTGGGGAAATTTATGAGAAACTGTTTTTAAACTAGACTCTTGACTTTACTACCCTAAAAATGTTGATGATGACATTCTCTGCAGGCAGAATTAGGTGGTAGTGTAACCACCAGCTGATGCGTGAAGCAAGGCTTACTTTCATAGCGGAACTGTAGCGTCGCATTTGGTTTAAACCAATTGGGATGTACTTTAAGGACCAAAAGCCCAAACTGACCAGCCACGGATTTGAGTAGAGGTAGCCTAATAGGTTAGTTTCTTCTCCAGCCACTGATGCCATATGGAAAGTAGCACAGAATGTGGCTTGCTTATTTTTTCTGTAGCGGTTGAATGAAACACTTCCTTGACAAAAATATTTTAAATATTTGTGTAACGCAGGTAGTGTAAGGACTTCTTAACTCCCCGTTAAAGAAAAAGCCTGAAAGATTTGTATCTTCCTCTTTTCACACCAAGCCTACAGCCAGATGGCGCAGATGTTCTTCTAAGTCCAGAAGTAAGTTGTGGTCCCTCGGACGTGTCTGTCAGCACTCCATTTGCCTTGACTATACCACACTGCGCAGAATTAAATTCAGAGCACTGGAATATTCACTTGAAGAAAAGGACACAACAAGGAAAATGGGAGGTAAGTAAGTTTAGTCCTCTGCGCCCGTTCAGAAGGCTGTACTAACCAATGCAAGCATGATTACCTTTACTCAGGCAGGAGCTGGTCAAAAGATGGTGCGAGGGGTAGAATCAGAAATACTAAATCGCCCTTTTTCCTTAAAAAAAAAAAAAAAGGGGGGGGGGGAGGGGATTATGCATTTTGCCTAAGAAACAGTTAAACTCTCTTCAAGTGCTAGACTAAAATGTGCAAAAAAGAGACTTTTTATCATCTAGTCCCTGTTACATGAGGAGGTACTCATCTTACCAAATGGCACTTAATCGGCCAGGATCGGTTTATTTTTGAAAACACTAAGTTTTTATAGGTCTTTCTTACCTCCCCAAAGAAACTCCGACCAGAATATTATATCCAAGTAAGATTTTTATCATGATAATAAACTAAGTTATGGCAGCGGTAAAAATACACACCTCAAATGTAACTTTTTTTTGTTTGTTTGTTTGTTTTTTAACCTGGAAGGGTCCTGTTAGTTTAAGAATCTTGTCCCATTACATGTCACCTCAGTGAGCATTCAGTGATTGCCCTGTGCTAGTCACCTTTGCAATTAGTGTATGTTACCTCACGTGTTTCCCTTGCTTTGTTTCAATACATTGTCTTATCCTGATGTACCGGGAAAGTAAGCCGTGTGCATTCGTGACGGGTATTATTTGACCGCGTGTGTCTGTCCACCTTGCTCTCTTCCCTGTTTTTTAAGCCCGTTGACCCTTTTCAACCAAAACTGGCATGCAGACAGCAGCCTCAAACACGTTAAATAAACCCCTTGCATCTTTTGGGGAGAGATCCTACTAATAACGCTCCTGAAGAGAAGACTAGCGCGTGAACTGAGCCTTTATTCAAAAAAGAGGTTTTGAATTTCCCAAAATTAAAAAAAAAAAAAAAAAAAAAAAAACACACACGTGTTCAGTGTCCACATTATTAAAACCACGGAGTTCCAGCAGCAAGACGCAAATCCATAGCCATTCCAGCTTTATTCCGCTGCTACCGATGGAACTATTTGCTTCCTTGCGTTGGGAGGAAACAAACAGTAGTTAAAACAGTCGTGGTTATCGTAACTCACTCTCTCCTTTTCCTCCTCTAAGCCGCTATGTTGTTCGTTGCCCTCCTTTAACCCATTCCAAATTCAGTTCAGCTCTCCTACCTTAGATGCACTCAGTAGTCAGCTCCATCAGTGTTGGTTACAGACACCCTGGGACTAAGGAGGAGGAGTGTAACATCAGACTGCAGACTGCTCAAATACTTCATCTAATGATGTTATAATGCAGAACTGAGCATGAACAGTGGGGTAGGTGTTTCTTTCGATGAGGGTAAACATGATTGTAATGGTCGTTGTGAAAGCATGTCCAATACCTACTGTTGTCAAGGCCTGCTTATCGAGTCAATCTTCAAGGTAATTTCTTAACTTGACATTGGGGAAAAAATTAGCTAGAGAGTCAAGGACACCTGAAAGAAATGCTAAAAATGTGTATGCATCATCATCATCATCATCATCATTATATGCTGTACACATTGAATTCTGCACAATGTCGCGTCGTAAGCCCTACTGCTGTCTCGGGGCTACACAGTGAGTATTTACGCTTATAGGTAGTCTCCCTTCCCCTGAGGTCAACACAAGTAAAGATTATGTGCAGACTGGCTCTCAGATGTACTGTCTATTCCACCTGAATTAAAAACATATTTAAGAACAGCCTCATGACTCCTATTCTCAAAGCCTGTTGATATTTTTTTTTAACCTTAGTTTCATTTTGCAGGAAGTGATGTCTGTGGAAGAGGAAACTACTTCTTGCTACTGCCTGTTGGATCCTTATGCCTGTCACATTCTCTTAAACAGCTTTGGAACTTATGCTCTTGTTGGAGAGCCCATCTCTGACTGTGCCGTTCGACAGCTGAAAGTAGCAGTTTTTGGATGCATGTCTTGCAATTCTCTGGATTACAATCTGAGAGTATATTGTATGGATAACACACCTTGTGCATTTCAGGTAAACGCGTTCGCTTTTCCATTTGTTTCTAGTTATTTTCCCACCGAATACTGACATTCCTTTATTCCCGGGGGATGGGCTCTGGGTTAAGGCAGTAGTCCAGGACGCAGAAGAATGAGACGACGGTAATTTATTCTGTCGCTGCTGCGTGACTTTATACATAGCCTCTCGTTTCTCCGCAGTGGTCTTTCTCCTCTGCGTTTACGGCGTAAAAGCTTTAGAACAGCCAGACTGTCTCCTCATTTTTTGCCAGGCAGATGCAAACCCACTCTGCCCGCGTTCTAGATTGACCAGAACTCACGTAGCCGTGGGTAACGTAGCATTACAGCTACAGAAGAGGAGATGCAAAAAAGGTGGGGTTGGGCTCGGTGCCTTGGCTGCACGAGCACAGGCGGAGCTTGTTTGCCATCTGCAGCTGAGCGCTACTCCGATACAAGCAGGAAATCTGAGTCGTTATCATGTGATGTATGTATTATTTATCACGGTCATTACCCTTACGCTGTCCTTAGTCAGTTCAGGATTTCCCCTCCTTGGTATAATCTGAGAAAGAAGAAAGATTCTCTCACCACCTCTGTCTGCAAGAATTGAAACGTGATGGTGCATTTCTTTCTTCCCGTTTTGAAAAAACAAAAGAACCCTCAAGTGGCAATTAATCAAAATTAGCATGACTTTTCTACGTGGTTTAGCAAGACAAAACAACAAACTTCCCTGGCTTTTGCAGCCTTGGTAAACTCGGAAACTTGAATGCACGACTTTCCTTCTGGGAACTGAGATGAAGACAGTTGTGACAGATGAATTTTTGCCTCCTTTTCCTGCCTCGCGGAATAGAAACGTGAATCTTAATGAGGCACGCGCTAGTGCTTCTAATGTTCTAATAAAAGCAAAGCCACTGTGAAAGGGAGGTTAAGGACTCCTTAAAATAGCTTTGTAATTACCCTTTGCAATACTTGCACAATTGTGGCTACTAGTACTTTTCTGGGCCCCAAATTTGGAGGCCCACATTCCATCTTCAAATATGTTTGTAGGTATGCACCATGAGCGCATACATGCAAGTAGCTTTGAATCGTGCCCTCAGTTAAAATAAATCTTTATTGCCTGTTGCCTTTGGTGAAACCGTGCGACTCTGCATCGCTTAGGAATACATCCTGTGGGTATTCATGTGGTATTGTGCAGCAGGTGTATACAAGTTGTACAGAAGTCCTAGGAACATTTAAATACGGGAAAGAAAGCCTGCTGAAAACTCGACGCTCTGCAAAGCAGCTATGAAAGAGGCTCACAACAGGGAAATGAGATTCGTCTTACTCAGAGCGACCATTTATTTTTTTCACATTGCTTCGTAGCGCACGGTGCACTCTCTTTCAGTGATTCATTCATGCTAAATGTTGCCTTCAGTACATTTAAAAAATCTCTCTCTCTCTCTCTCTCTCTCTCTATAGATAGATAGATAGATATAAAAACCTCAAAGCCGCCTGATTCAATCGTATCATCATTGTTTCTCAAATTACTGTGACGTTCAGCAAAATAATGGAGGAGGCTGGATTATTTTTTCTTAATGTGAATTAAAATAAGATTTCAAAGTTACTTGTTGTTTTCTGCAGAAAATTGTTAAAAGAATAATTACCAGTGTTCCCCACTTGCAGAAATTAGAACAGGATCTTGGTACCTAATGAGACAACTGTATATTTATGAAATTCTCCTTTCTTCATAAATGTGTTGCCTCAGTTCAATGCTAGCGTAAATACTTAAGAGTAGTGACCATGGAAAATCAAGACTTTAGGAAACAGTGTCAGAGTTGGGCCTACCAGGTTTTGTAGTATTCCTTTACGGTGCAGTCCTGTATGAGATGTGAAGCTCCTCGATGCTCACTTTGTCCATGTGTGACAACAGATACTACTTTCCT